ATTTCACTTTTGATGTATGGGCTGTGTTTTTCCCGTAGGAATCAAGTGTATGTGACCTGTCATGGTCTCGGAGCTCCCGCGTCTTTGGTTTTGGATTTTCTCTTGTATCGGTTTGAAAACAAAAGAGGGAACACAATAGCACGGATCAAACTGACACGCATGTGTTGGCAACACAACAACCTGCTTCAGCAAGCAACGCTTTTAGAAAGATGGGCTGTCTACTGGCTGAGAGAAAAAAGCCTGAAAACCCCGAGCTATTTTTCAGGCTTTAGTTGTGATGACTCTAATTTGAGTTGAACAAAGACATTTCACTCACCTCAGAAATGCAACATATTGGCGTTCTCTCCCATCGTCTTTTTCGTAGCTCCAACGAAGCAAAGAATATCAACCCTTTTAGAACTTGGTCAGCTTTTACGCATCAACATCGCGTCTTCCAAAGCAAGCGAGAAAGTCCAGCAACCTCATCGAAGAGAGGTTGGAACAAAGCTCAACTCCTCTTCCCTCTCCTCCATTCTTGGCTTTAGTTCCCCACTCTGGCTGCCTTTCTTCGTACAGACAGACGCGCAGTCAGTAAAGCTACCTCATAAAATATTAAACACCTTTAATGGACAAGTGAGATAGAATAGAGGGGGGTAAATTGGAATGATGCCTTTCGATATTTATTCCGTGTTTACATCATGTACCCAATTATTTCCCTTCAGAACGATCAGAATGTGGACTTCCTTTGTGCGCCCAGTCTCCCTCTCTCTCCCCCTCTCAGCGGGTTGAACCATTGCGGCAGCGCAGTAGGGGGGAGATAGGATCTATTCATGAGAGTGTATGGGAACGAATAGGCTTGGTGACTCGTGGCCAAATGTTGTTGTTGTCGGGGGATAAAGAGAAGGGGGAATTGAGAGGATGGAAAAAGGGAGAAGGAAAAAAAGTGAGAGGGGTGGGGGTTGGGGGCAGAAATTAGAAAAAAAAAGGTAATAAAGCATATATGTACATAAAAATGTTTTGATTTGATATGAAAAATGTTTCGAGTTTCTTTGTTATTGTTTTTTTTTTATATATATACTGCGACACAGTGGAAACTGTGAAGCCCCTCTCCTCTGAAACGACGCATTCACACACCATTTTCCCACTCATGTCTCAAGCATCCTACCAAGCACCACTGCGCAACAAATTTAAAATTACACCCCTCACCCTTTTGGTGAAAACGGAAAAACAAAAATAACGAGGCTGTTCTCGATCTGTTTCTCGCTGTGCTGCCTGTCAGTTCCAGTGAGTTCAGGACCTCGGAGAGCTCCGGTTCAACACAATTCCACCTGTTTATCATCAGGGCCACTATATGTGTATAGGGCCAAACCCCTAAACATTTGGCGTTAATCTCTCTCTTTCCGAATTTTAGAATAGATATCCAAGGTTCCATTAGTTACAAAATGTAATCTTTCTAATTATCTTTTGCCATACACTTTCAAATCCAACAGTTGGCTTCTGTCCACCCTATCCCTTCACAGCAAATTTAACAGCAGAGCAATTAAACATAATGCATAATCTACATATAGTTATAGTTTGACTGCCATATCATGGATGGCCACCCCCTTGTATATTTCTCTTTATGATATAATTGTAATATCTAGCGATATTGTTGAAGTTTTTGTACAAAAAATAATCATAACTCTTTGATACGACGATAAATTTCCCCCTATTACCCTTATTAAATCTTTACTGACTTTTTACACAGACACAAAACTCCAAATACATTTATTACCTGATGGCCCACATGATTAATACTTACTATCATGGACTTATTATGTATACTGTTTGTTTACTCTTTCTATCTGCACACACCTTTGTGTTCTGTCTGTTCTTTACCATAACAAATTGAAATGACGGGGAAATAATTGTTGTGCCACAGCGCCTCCCCACGGAGGAAAGTTTGCTGCTTGTTTGGAAACCAAACACATCTTAACCAGATGTTTATTTGTGTTCTTTCTGTTGCTTCTGTTTCTGTTTTGGCCTTATTTGAGAAGACAGCGTTTCAAGTGCAGCTTGATAAGAGAGCCAAGTTGTCAGCTCATGCGCTGCTGAGAAAAATGCAGTTGCCTTTTTTTTCCTTTGTTCCTGAGCTGCTAGAAAATCGGTCTGAATTAAAATCAATATGCTGCAAAAAAAACCAAAAAAAACAATACTTATGGCACGTGATCATCAGCAAAATATTAAGTATTAAATATTTACACATGCATTAGGCATATAAGTAGCCTCATTTTGTAATAGCCTATACCCAGACCTAACTGAAACTTTTACGAAGTTATACTAGTGTTATAATTTAACATAAAAAAAACAGTTTGTATTTTATATGTATATATATATATATATATATATATATATATATATTTGGATATATATATATATATATATATATATATATATATATATATATATATTTGGGGGGAATGCAGTTATTCAGTTATTGATTTAGATGAACTTAACAGAAGGGTTGCATTTTTTAGGAAAACCTACATTAAAAAAACTGTCATGATCCTCCTATTATATAACCGTAATAGCTGACTGAAGCTGTAATGCTGCAATATAGTGGACACTTTTGTGTCTTTGCATTTTGTAAAAAAAAAAAAAAAAGGTTTAATATGTTTTTTGGATGTTAAAATACGAAATTCAAAACAATTTCATCGTTGCATTGTATAATTTGTTTTCACAATTATTTTTCATTTGTTTGGGGGGTTTTTTCGTTCAGAGAAGAGAAAGAAAAAAAAACAGAGCCGCTGTACCTTTAATAGCATCTCTCAGCATCCTCCTCCTGTGTCAGGGACGCGCACACACGACGTACACGTACAGCAGCCCAACATTACAGAGAAAAGACTACAATCAAGCTTTACCAAACCACATCAGCATTTTAATATACAGAAAAAAAGAAAACATCTTACAGATAAAAACTGTCATCCTATTTTCCCACTCAGACATTAATGCATCTGCTTCAGCGGTCGCCATAGCGGTCCAAGCGATCAATTTCCTTCCCCTCTGCATCAAAGACTGACCTGTGCTGCAAGATGGCTGAGCTGAATTTGGGGAAGGGTCTGACGGCTGGAAAAGTGGCCAGCAACGTTCAAAAAAAGCTGACCAGAGCCCAGGAAAAGGTAAGATGTGCTCCGTCAACTAACCAGTGTTAAAAGATACAGAGGACGGCTCGGCCTGTTCATCGCTGCTGCCGCATCCTCCGCTGAGGCGCAGTGTCGCATCACGACATCAAAATTGGAGCAAAAATTATCTTTTTAAAGATATTCATATAAAGTATATCCTGTCATTAGATATTCGTATAATAGGACATGTAATTTAAATAAAATTGGCCCGCGTTTATTTTGTCCTCGGTAGACCCACTTCTGTAATAAATAAAAACATATATCTAAATGTGCGCATTTGTCTAATTTAAGCTGCCCTCTTGTACAATATAATTCATTCCAGCATTAAACAGTAGTGCATTCTGCAGTAACATATAGCAGGCCTGTGCCTTTAATTGCATGCACGTTGCATGAAATGACTGCGAGGTGGCGCTGTTTGTTAAACAGAGGACATGTCTAAATAAGAGCAGAATTATTGATATATTATCTGTAAAGATGATAGTATAGTGTCTCGTTTAATGTAAGTGGACGTTCATTGTGTTTATTCCTGCTTTTATTGTTATTTTCAATGCCTTACAGATAAATTCTATTTTGGGGGGAATTTGATGTGGTAGAACAACTATCATTTATGGTTAACCATGAAATTAAAAGAAAAAAATTGTATTCTGATTAAATATGGTGTAAAAAAATTCAAACATATTAAGATTACATTACTATGTTAGATTAAATACAACCACATTTTAAATAAAACAATTTATTTGAATACATTTGTATGACACAGCTGCCGATCTAAGAAATGATCAAAGTCCAATCAGAATGTATTTTCAACACGTTTCACTGGAAGTGCAAAACTGGTAGAAAGAAACAAGATATGCGGCTGTAATTTTAGCAGAAAGTAGTTTTGCAAGTATTGAGCTATAGGACAAAATGGCCTAAACATCTTTAAGATCTTTCTATTTATTTTAAAACAAACATCCATATTTTAAATGGTCCATACTACAGTCAGTGCTATAATAAATTGTCTGGTAACATAAAATCCATTTAAATTGCAATTTGGTTTGTAGTTGTTGCATGGCATAATAATAAAAGGAAAGTGGACAGTAGATATAGATATCCATTGTGAATAGTTTTGCAGTTATAAGAGGAGGGTATTAGATCTTAATGATGTCTGTTTACTGCTGCAATTAACATTACTGTTTCTTCTCAGACACTCTCAAACAAGATTACATACACAATACACACTCCTTATGACAACCATAAGAACCCTAGCCCATTTCTTATACTGTTTCACCACAAGCTGCACTATATGTAAATGCGACATGTTACCTATCCATGTGCATATATTTGTTCCAAAGGGGGTTTTAATTTGCTTCAAAGTTTTAACAATGTTTAATAGTATTTTGCTTTTCTTTGTCTTTGAGGTGTGTTTGGATATTTCTGTATTTCAAAATTTTAAGGGTTTCCTATAAGGATATAAATGTTTCTATTTCTGAAAAACTTTATTGATTTTTTTCTGTGTTCTATGTATCTCATATTTAGCACGATTTGTCAATGAAATTTCATTATGTCCTCGTGAGGACAACGATTCTTAATTTTGATCTTGATTACTAATTTCTTTGGCTAAAAGGTTCTGCAGAAGCTTGGTAAAGCAGATGAGACCAAAGATGCTGCCTTTGAGGAGTGGGTCATCAACTTCAACAAGCAATACGTGAGCCTATTTGCATGAACCTTGTTATTTGTGTAACTTACTAAATAAATCAGTTTGATATTCAGTAATTTGCTGTAAGACATAGTTTAACTAACTATTGGAATATGTCATCCTCAGACCGAAGGGAGCAAACTCCAAAGGGACCTAAGAGCATACCTTGAGGCAGTTAGAGGTACGTTCATACTCCTTTAAGCCACAGATATATGAGTATCATATCGAAAAAAAGTCCCCACTTCCACTGACGTTCTTATGTTAATACCTATGTTTTAGCCATGCATGAGTCCTCCAAGAACCTACAAGCATGTCTAGGCGACATGTACGAGCCTGAGTGGTACGGCAAGGATGAAGTTGAATCCATTCTGGAGGTTAGAAAGGCTTTTTTTTGCATCTAATATCACAATCACTGTTTATATGTGTGTATTAGAGGGTTAAGGACCAATAGCTTTTCACTAAGAGGTCAGTGTGTAATGTATATGACTTTGACTAATGTAAAGATTCTCCGAGCCAGTTCCCATGTTAGAGGGTGAAAAGGAGCACATAGAGTTAGTCACAGTCAGGGAAACAGGACTACACTGAAAAACAGGCCAAGCTTCAACATCAACACGGAAAGGTGTTGATGGCAGCAGCATAGTTTATATTTATCTCCAGGATGGTGTCAAGGCCAAACAGGAACAGATCAGATGAAACTACTATGATGAGAAAAAAGAAATCAACAATGTGGTTGAAACATCTTTAATGGGCCAAATTTTTACAACTTTGTTTACGACAAACATGGGCAAGTTTTTTTGTTTTTAAATAGACCAAAGAGCGACAGTCTTAAAAAAATCCAAAAATATGATGCAAATTAGGACTGGGCAATTAATTGCAGTTGCAGTGTTATAGAAAAAAACAATTTTCAAATCACAGAGGTGTTCAGTTTTTATCTTATTATATTACATTTGATAAGAGTAAAAGAATAAATTACTCCCTCTGGCCCCTTAGGTGGCAGTGATACACTTAAGTATGGTGTGCTGCCACACAGAAGGGATGGGGAGTTGCCACTCGCATGCAGATCCATGTATGATAGTAGAAGTAAAAACTTTTTATTGCAAAGGTTACAGCAAAGTCCTGCAACGATGGACCCCGGAAGGTTTTAAGGTAATTAAAAAACTGAATCCCCTGACTGAAACATTACATGGTTGTACTTAGAGCAAATTAATATTACAGTAAAATCACAATTGGCATATTAGTTTTAAATATCACATGTTTGATTTTTGGCAAAATCATTCAACCCCAATGTACATGGACATCAAGTGCAAGAAGAGCACCTTTTGGGGTAACCTGAAGTAGAACAGAACTTTCACTAGAAAACATTATTTAGGATAGTATGATTAAATTCTTGCATCGGTAAAAAAAATATATATATGCACATTAGATAATTCTGTATTGTTCATAAAAATGATGAAATGATGAAAAAGAAAATACAAGAAATAGCATCATGCTCTCGTTCCAAGACTGACCCATGTAAACAGTGAACAGGAAGAAGAATTTATGGATAATTTAAAGCCTTTAATAATAGTTGTCATTTTGAGTTTTTTTTAGTGCTTTTGTTACATTTTTAAATTGTATAAAATAGTAAAGAAAAAAATGAATATAGATTGTAGCTACATACCTTTTGTAATTTTGCCTGACTATGCATGTTCATCTATCCCACAGGACTGTGATGTGCTCTGGACTGATTACCACCAAAAGTTGGTTGATCATGCTCTCATCTCTATGGATACCTACCTGGGTCAGTTCCCTGATATTAAGGTAAGCTGTGGGATCAGGACCTAAACCCAGGAAAGGAAGCATTAGTTGGTTATCCTCTGACTAGATTTTAACCATAAACGTATAAATTGATCTGAATGTTTTTCATAAACTTAGCATATTCTAGATAAAGTTAAGAGTTTTTTTACTTAACTAAGACCAGGGGGAAAATAAATATTGTGCATATTAAGGCAAGAGTCTACAGCCCAATTCTAACTGTAGTCTCTTGATTTTTTTCTTTCAGGCCCGCATTGCAAAGAGAGACAGGAAGCTGGTGGATTACGACAGCGCAAGACATAACTATGCTGCTACACATAAGACAAAGAAAAAAGATGGGGGCATTAAGATTACAAAGGTACAACAAATAGAAGGTATTTATGTTTTTTTAAATTTATAATGTACTAATATGCAAATTTGTATTCTCTTTTCCAGCCGTCCACCTTGCTAGAAAGGGCCACCCCAGGTTGGGCTCAGGGTATCTTGTCTGCACACAATCTTGCTCAGACAAGTCTCTCCAAGAGCCAGGTATCCTCTACTATGTATGGGCAATGATGTTCCCAGACATAGAACTATTTGTTCTAGTATCACAGCATTTAGTTGAAAGAGCCCTTACACTAATATCAGAGTTATATCAGACAATTGCATATGCCTTACTTGATTTAACAATGAAAATATAACAAATAATCGATAAATTCATTAAATAATATTGAGTGTTCATTATTTTCTGTCTACATTATTGAAGAAGAACAAAAAAACATGAAATTTCCAGCCACCAGGATAAAGGCGATAGTTTAAGTCCTTGTAGGTGGCATTCCCATGCTCTCATTCCACACTGTTTGCCAGCTGGTTGCTCATGCTAATTCTGACCTTAGTTTAGTATTGGCAAACATTTAAGTTTTCTGGCCAGAAGGAAAGCAGTAACCTCCAGTTGTATTTTGTTGTATTTTGACCCACTTTATTTCCTTAAGTTGGCACCAATGCTCAAAAGCTTGAGTGATGGTCACCCTCGTTTTCCTTCCCTTTTTTTTTTAATTAGAAAAGTAACATTGAAAAGAAGCTATTTCAATCTGAAAAAACTCACACGAAGAGAAAAGACAATCAGGAGAAATGTACTGATACAATTACTTTGTCTTTGGCGCTCAGACCTCAGTAGGAAACATAGCGCTTAACTTTGATAGATATGAACAGGAGCAAAGAATAGGGCTGTTTCTCCGCAGGCCTGAAAGTGGTGGTGGAGTGGAGATAGATGAAGTTGGTCAGTCTGTAGACTGCTGGTTAGCGAGACAGTATGCTAAGCTTTATGGGGAGATCCAGTGGATTGCATGAGCTGATACTAGAGCTTCACTCAGGGACCTGGAAGATGGAAGTCCAGCTTGGATAACACAGGTTGAGAGAACCTGTCCATGATGAGCAAGCATGAAGCGACAGTGGAGAGAAAAAAACTCCCCGTTGGGAAAAAACATCTGGCAGAACCAGCCTCAACATGGCGGTCTTATGCCGGACCAGTTAAGATGAGACAGGGAACGCAGTAAGATTCCACGAGGAGTGACACACTGATAAAGCTTTAGCTACAATGGTGGAGGAGGGGCTGGAGGTGGGCTGAAACGGTGTCATCTGAATGAAGTGAGAGAGCGCATCCACCGCCCGCACACAGGAGCAGACAGGTGCATATCGGAGGCCTTTTAAGATGAACTTTGGATGCTGATTGGCTTTCGTGGAGGTGTAGTTCAAAGCTGATTAGCTGTGTCGCAGGTGGATGAAGGAAAGCAATGAGTTTCTTCTGTTGAACTTCCATTTAGGCTCCATTTCTCAGCTCTATTAAGGAGTTACTAGGATTGGCAATTGGTATTACATGACTTTAACATACTATTCTTATTGCTGCAGAATCCTTTTGTGTCGTCATTGGCATCATAACCAAAAGTAAATATTTATATATTTTGGACCTGTCAAACTTTATAAAATAATAATTTTTTTAGTTAAAGTTTAAGTTAAAATTCTTGTTTATTACGGTCCACTCTAATTGGTTTGTAGCTGTATAATTTTTTTGAGCAAATTATTCGTTTTTATGAAAAGTTGTTGCCATGACCTTTAATACTCCCTTAGGTAAAGCACTTCTTGTTATTGATATTTCCAGGCTTACATGATACAGTATGCAATTAAAAGACACTAAGACAGTGTCACTTCACCTTCTGTCATCTCTTTTCACTAGCATTCTCTAAACTGCTTAATTAAATAAAAAAATAGAAATAGTTTGGATTTAGGAATGTTGCACTTATTTGAGTGTAATATCCATGACGTCAATTAACTTTTTTTGAAAAATTGTGTGCCTTGTAATAGCATTCATAGTGACTGAAAATTTTCTCCTTGGATTCTGTTAGAGCCAATAAATTTAAAATGTTGAATGGGGATTTTGCCATTGTTGGTGTTACTGTTGTCTTGCATAAGGAAAGTTCTGGGTTTGCATGGAGAGATTGTATGTGGCAGACCAAGAAATGAAAAAAACCTGTAAGTAGGCCCCTCTGTGAATACTTTGTATAGCAATATTTGCAAATGAAAGTACAGGTTGTTTTGTTTATGTCTAAACCAGCTTTCTCCATCATAAACTTGAAATTGCACAAATCTTCACATTTTCTTTGCAAATTAGCTCAGACTAAGGAAAAGTAGATGGAGAGTAGTAGTAAAGAAGTTATAATAAATCTGAATTAATTACACTCTTGACTTTACCTGGATCATATTGTTAAAATTTATGAAATTAATGTATTATCTTTCATGAATATATGTTGGTTTCTGTAGAATTTAAACATTTGGTGTTCAGCATAATTGTCAAAAACTGTTTAAGGGATAAAAGTACTGCAGTTTGCATTCTCACCTGTAGTACATTTCATACATTGCTGTAGTTAATAATGACATCTTTATAAATTGTTTTTCTCAAAGTTCTGCTGTGAAAATTACAACTGGGTATTCCAACTTTTAAAGTAACGTCCAATGAATGATTTTTAATCAACATATCTATAATTATTGCCACTGCCAGCTGCTTATTCAGTATTGTGAAATATAACAATGCCAAGAATAAACAACACAACAGAGAAAACATTTGGTAAGAAAATACAAATTGAAAACTAGAGAGATTTCACTAGGATTGATGTAGAATCGGTGATAAACAATACCTCTGCTAGTACAGTTTAGACAACAAAGTGTGAGTGTTCAGTTTGTTTTGGTAATTTTGCACCCATTGTGTGTGATTCAGGCCGAAGAAGAATTGGAAAGAGCCCAGAAGGTTTTTGAGGAGATTAATCTGGACTTGCAAGAAGAGTTGCCTTCACTCTGGAACAGGTGTATATTTTTTTCTCATTTTTGTTCCTGATTAAATGCATTTATCTTTTCAGAGGCATTTTTTACTTTATAAAAAAAAAGCTATTGTCACCAACATTGGATTTGCTAGTCCAATCAGTATTTTTTTTTCTTCTCTGTTTTCTCTAGTCGTGTTGGATTTTATGTTAGCACTTTCCAGAGTTTGGCGGGCTTTGAAGAAAAGTTTCACAAGGAAATCAGTCGGGTAAGACCCTTCCATAGATTTCCAGTACGGGGAGGGCTTAGTGCAAACACCCGACTCTTTATGATTAGACATACAGAAGGTGACAGAAAAATGCAACAACAGCCTCAATGAAAGCAGCATTATGATAGCGTTATGCGTGCTGCAGAAGGCTTTAGAATTATGAAATGCTTTTTGTATTTGATGTAATATCTTACACCACATCTTTCATATATTTTTTCAGTTGGATCAGGATTTGCATGACGTGTTGGTGAAATTGGAGGATACAGACCCAACCAGGTTCGTTGCTTATTGAGCAAATAAAGTTCCTCATGTTTTCACAAAACCTCTTCAATTTTAATGGGCTTTATGAACAACTGTCATGAAAAGAAAGAAAACCAACTATCAGTTCCTTACATGTATGGCTCTATTTGATGAAAAATTAACATTCCAATCCCAAGAAACATTGTAACAACAAAGAAATAATCAATCATTCTCAAATTGCTCTGTTTTTTTGTATAAACATTTTTACCAGAAATACTTAAATTTGGAGATTAGTTAAATATGACGATATGAGTATTTTCAAATCATCTTCTAAAGAAATAAATAAAATGACCATTTGCATGTTACTATGACTTTTATTTGGGGTTCTTAATCGTCAATTGTTAAAAATTCAGGCGCTATGGTCATTTTTATCCCGTAGAATAACAACTGGTTTTTGCTGTAAAATCTGTTTCTTAAGGGTTTAAAAAATCTTATGAAAATATTTGAAAACCCTAACTTTATTTTTTTTTTTTGATAAATACATAATTTTTTTAGTAGCTATACCAGTTTTTGCTAAATTTATTTACAGTGTACCATTATCTTATCTTGTTAGAATAATACATTGTACTTAGGTTAAAACATAATTCATGTAAATATTAATACTTGGCGATATGTTATATTGGTGTCTATTTGAATAAAAAAATAAGTCATATTTTGGTCTAATGATAGAAAAAAAAATCATACAATCAAATAAATACATCAAGGACTACAAAGATAGTAAAAGCAAACAATAACTCAGAACTCCCTCCTTAAACTCCTCTTTCAGAAGAACAGGTCACCTTGGTGCAGCATCTTCGGGACCAGGGAGGAGGTAACTGGCAGCAACTGTAGGAACAGCGGTGACACAATGCTTGTTTGTGTTTGTAAACTGATCTGTCCGTACAGCTGGTGTATGTCTGTCAGTCTACAGATGTGGGTACAATAGTATCAAGGGAAGCACTGCTTGATTTTGCAAGTTATTTCACTGAATTGATGTCTGATCTAAGATATATATGTTTGAAACTGAATCTTAAAAGGAGCAGAGCAAAACATGTTTGAATTTATAAAAATGTTTCCATAGAGTATGCATACATTTACCATTAATTGAAAGGCATTTTTTGCTCTTTTCCAAAAGCCCTGTCTTAGTCATTTTTGTTTGTCTGTTAAATTATTTATTTTTTATAAATAGACAGGTATAACATGTTGATATTTGCATTCACCACAGCAGGCGGTCCAGGAAAGTACATCCTCTCTTGAACCGACCCAATCCCCTCAACCATCATACACACACCAACACGCAAACCTACTGTATAAGGGTACATGATTGATCAACACTATACTGAACTTTTCGGTTAAACTTACTGTTTTATTTAGAACAATCATGGACGACCATTTCACAATGTTGCTTGTTGCAGCAGTGATGTGTCAGTATATGACTGGTCCTTTATTTCCGAACCCTTGAAGTTTGTGTTCACTACTTTAAGGATGTTTTTCTGTAACAATGAATGTATCTCACAAAGCTCACATATCAGGATTTACTAGAGGCAGCAATCTGCTTGCATGGTAGAAGATGGATGGGGAGCACCAATGCCCACTTTACTTGCATGACAGCTTTTACAGTAACAGTTTCTGCTTGGACTCTTGTAGAGCATGCAGTGTAAAATTCCTTAATTTGAATGTTGAACTCTGTTCTGTTATTTCTTTCTTCTTTTTTGGTATCAGTCTGCTTTTATAATATCTATATTCCCTCTTTTTAAGCTTTGTTTTCTCTGTGTCCTCTCTTGTTCATTCAGTGATAGAGAGGAATCTAACCACACTCTCAGACCGGGAGGACCGCCTCCAATCCCCAAATCTCCCTCCAAGGTAGAATCAGTTTGGGTGCTTTTTCTCAAAGTTTAAAGAGTTGGGTCTTAAATTCTTTATCTATACCTTATAATATTGCAGTGTTTAAAGTTAAAATGATATATACACCCAGAAAAATATAATAATAACAACCTTGAGTTTGAGTTCATTAACTTATTGTGTGGTTTACTAACTGAGGAGGAGTAAGTAGACAGAAATGTTATTTGAGTTCAGTAGCTTAGACACTTAATAAACTAACACCTTATAGAGGTATTTAAAACTTCCCAGTCAAACTATGCTTAATCTGCTTGTAATTTACCAAAATTCAACTAAATTCAATTCAGTTTATTTATATAGCGTCAATTCACAACACAAGTCAACTCAAGGCACTTTACAGTTCAACCAGATCATACAGTCAAATTGATTTAAAGTTTTCTTTCTAAGGAAGACCAGTTGATTGCATCGACTCATTGACTCAATTGCAATCCCTCACAATAAGCATGCTTGTAGTGACAGTGGAGAGGAAAAACTCCCCTTTAACAGGAAGAAACCTCCAGCAGAACCAGACTCATTGTGAGCGGCCATCTGCCGAGGCCGACCTATCAGCACCTTGAATTCTCCCAACAACTTTCACCAGAGTACCCTACATCATACTGTATGAGTGAATCATCGAGTTGGTGTGAGGGTCTCAGTTTTATTCAATTCATAATTATATATATATATATATATATATATATATATATATATATATATATATAAATATATATAATTTTTTTTTACTTATGACAATAAAAATACACACCAGAAATGAAATTTTTGTCATAAAAACATCTCAAACTTTGGCCCTGAAGGCCTTTCACACTAATGCCATTTACTGTAGAAGGAATAATAATAATATGCCTTCAGATGGCAGCTGGAATCAAATGCTATTCATCGTTCTGCTCAGAAAAAAAAAGACTGTTCCAGCTAAAGCTATGTATGCTATCCAACTTGGAAATTTTCTGTAAAAAATACGATTAAAAGAAGTTTTATAAACATTATAAATCACTTCCTAGTTAGATTTTTTTTAAACTTTCTACAACAGACTGAAATTGATACTTTCTTCAGACTTGCTTTTCTAGGCCCTTATATGCAAGTTAGCACATCCTAGATGATTTATTATATTTATATTTTCTGAATATGCATCTTAAAGATAGCATTGGCTAGTAGAGTTATCTTTTTGGTCTTGTTTTAGGGAATTATTTTTGGCTCATAGAGATAAAACAAAGAGACAACACAGAGATTACCTTCAGCAAACAAAAAAATCATTGTTGTGATTATTTTTTTCCCATATCCTAGCTAAGACCAGCAGTGCCTCCACCACCAAAGGTAACTCCATCTAAGGATTTAAAAACAGAGAACATCATCAACCTGTTTGATGCTGCCGCAGCTCCTGATATCAGTGTCACCTCTCCTACAGAGGTAAGTGAGCAGCTGCTCTCAATAAACTGTATAACAGCCCTTTAACTTCCAATTTGCAGGTCAGAACCTCTTATCATTATTTAGTATTCTCCCCAAAAATCTATTCTATTCTATTCTATTCTATTCTATTCTATTCTATTCTATTCTATTCTATTCTATTCTATTCTATTTCCCTAACTCAATTAATTAGACCCCCATTAGCCATTTACTGCTCCTGTTCCTGTCATTGTCAGTTTGACAGTCCTGCAAGCAGCAACCTGTTGGATATGGACCTGGACTCTTTCAGTGAAGCAACCAAAATCCCCACAACCTCTCAGGTGGACAATTCATGGCATGAACATAGTGATCTTAGAGACCTCTCCTGTAAGATGAGCCTTTACAAGAGATTTCACTGTCTATTCAGAATGCATCCAATTCCATTTTGCAGTATTTCTGATGGATTTGTCCAACCTCACATTGCTATTACCATTAAAAAAATGTCATCAAAACAAATCTCTTGGAAACTTTATTTTCCGTTACATAAGACGCACTGCATTTTTTGCAAAATTGAAAGTCTACTGAAAAAGGTTTGCTATGTCTGAATAAAATGTGAAATCACTGGGTAATCTTGGCACAGTCTGAGGTTTTGCCTGCTATGCTTCTTTCCAAATACACTTAAAATGAGGTGGATGATGGCATGACTATCTTTAGAGACCTGCTTCTAGTGATTTCTTCTTTCTGCTTTGGCAGTGCTTCCATGAAAAAAATAAAAATAAAAAATCAGCACGAACTCTAGAATGTAGCTTGTAATTATATTGTCTATAGTACGGGACAAATCTGAAATTACATTAAAATAACCTAACTATTCCTAATTAACTACATCTACAAAGTATATCAATTATTTCAAACTATTTATCACTTTAACAATATCATCCAAGCTGTTCATTTGAATGAGAGGTTAAAAAATCTTAACTCAGCAAAATCTTACCACAGCAAGACTCAAGCAAGAGTGTGATGTCATCACAGCAGAGTCTTGCAGGGGATGGATCACCCACTCAAGGAAATAAAAAAACCTTCTTACTGCATTGCAAGAAATTATATTTGCCGTGATGTAGATGATACTGTGTGGCAGTCCGAGAGGTGTGTATGAGTAACTTGCACTACCATATATGTTGTATGTTCATTTCCAATTTTGTTTACAGATGTGCACAGCTCTGCCAAAAAGGATTTGGTATGGGTTGTAAATAAAGTTGTGTTTTTTTGCACAGTTATGTAATAAAATGAGGATTGCAAAGAGCATAAGAAATCAAAATATGAAAGCAGAAATACTCAGTCTTGTACTGAATTAGACTTAATAAATAGCAATACTTTCACCATACTTGGAAACATTGGCATTAAAAAAACATTTAAACAGTAAACCGTGATAAAGTCATTTGGCTATCTCGTTCATAAACAATGGTGTCAGAACTATTTATCTTGATGGAACCGACACATTTTTGCAGAACATTTACAAGTTTTGAAGTTTGTACTTATTTTGTGAATACTGCTTTACCTTTTATGAAAATGTAAATAGTGATGTTTAAAATGCACCAAAGCAGTAGAGAATATATTTTACATTTTTGCCAATGGAGTTGTGTGAAATACAAAGTGAAAATTAATAGTAAACTTAAGAAATGTCCAGAAATATAAAACATTGTCTCTAAATTGTGTGTTCACTTACTGAAATAGATAATGACAAAATGAATGATTGAGCAGTGGGACTATTGATTAATGAGATATTTATGAGATGCAGCTTAGCTTACAATGTTGTCAATATATTTGTTTACTTATTTATTTTGAAGTGTGGGAAAATAGTGCAAAGATTGAATGATGATGATATGAAGAAAATTCAGTAATTGTCATTTTTAATTGTTGTTATTATTATTAGTAGTAGTAGTAGTGGTCGTAGTGGTACCATAACCCTCATGTAACCAAGTAGATCATACTGAGATATAAAAAATATATATTTTGTTTTAGAGACCTGAACAAGGCTGGCAGCAGAGCACAAACATCAGCAAAACCATCATAAAACCACAAGTACAAAAGGAACATCAAAATAAAATAATATCCACAAAAGTAAATTGGTCAAAAGTACAATTCATTGTTCATTAAAGATAATTATGAACATTCATCATATTTAAACGTGTTAAGAACAGCCTTAAAAAATGTACAGAAACCAACTCATTCAACTTCAATTATTTGTATGGTTGAGTGTGGTCTTAGGGATTAGCAAGCTCTTTTCAATTGCTTAGTTTAACAGGAAACTGTAAAAAAAAAAAAAAAAAATCTTAATTTGTATATCAAACTTTACACAGAAAACCAAATCAGAAATTAGAAGTAGCTAAAAAAAAGTGCTTTCTGTCCTTCACTGGATTACCATATAAAGCCAAGGGAATACTTTGTCAGGTATGATGTTAATGATTTTAAACACATAGTTTAAAATGTTACCACTTTCTTATCTGTATTGCTTCAGAACACTTAGCTCTGATCACATTTTGCATAAAACATTTTTAGGTTTGCAATATTTAAAGCTACAGTGTGTAATAATTACAGGGATATACAGTCAGAAATGTAATATATTATACATAACTATGTTATTTATCATCATCTACGAGCTCAGCCTCTTAACCTTAATATTTGCGTTGCCTTAGAATTCGTTATTTATAATTACATAGGAGCGGGTCTCGCAGCCATGGAGGCAGACATCTTTGCGCTACGGCAGCGCAGAGCCAACAAACTAGCTATTGCGAGATCGCCCATTACGCTCAAAAGTAACTACAGCAAGTTGAGAGAGATGAACTGAGACGGTACTGAACACACAGACTAATGAAATACTATCTGTAAAATTATCTATGTAAACAAACCTCATCACTTGAGAAGGTAGGTGATGCAGACGTCGTGGAAGACATTTTGTCCCGTAACGCTCGCCGTACTGTTGGGGGGAGAAGCGGTGGGGGGAGATGTTCATGTTGCTGCGGTCTGCAGTCTGGACGTTAGATGTCGCTGAAAATTACACACTGTAGCTTTAAGAGAATCATCTATGCTTGAGACCTACTTTACAGTAACTGCACCTTTTCTTTAGTTGAAAATCCACTAATATGGGCTTGAATTTTAAAGCATGGGTTCTGCAGTGGAAGTTTCAGACTAAAGCTGTTAAAAAGAAGAGTTATTTAAATTATGTTTTTTTGTTTTTTTCTACAGCCTGCTAACTGGGACTCAGTGGTAAGCATAGCTTCAGCTGTCAAGAGGCTTTCAGAAAAATATAGAATGTTTTCATATTTAAGATTTGAACATTTTTGCATTCTGTAGCCATGAGTTTATAAAGATTGTTTACTTATACATGCATCACACAAAACCCTTCTTCATTCTGTTTCGTTAGACCGTTTTGCTCTTGATCCATCAAACATCTTTCATGTTTTGTTTTACTTTTTTTTCCCCAAGTTTGTTTGAGTGTTGTCTTTGTCTGCAGTGCTTGATGTGGCAACATAACACTGTGCAACACAAATTAAACTTGGGAGTTAGCTTGAGTCAATTCAGTTCCAAATTGACAGAGTATTGGTTGATAAATGACAAACATGTTAAACCAGTTAAATGGGTGTCTTTACATTTCATATGCATATTTTGCAGTATTAATAAATGCAGAATATATGAAAGTTTAACACACCATTCTGTATCACTGAGGTGTGAAAAGAAATTTGTAACTGAATCATCTCCCTTTTGGTTTTCCTTTGTATCCTCGTGTGTTCACATGTTATTGATGGTAAACATGTAACACTTACATGTGACCTCAATGTTCACATGTGGCATACATAGATTGTGTTTGTCATAAAAGCTTAGTGAAGTTGCTCAATTGTTCTATAAATTGTTTTCCAATTATTAAAGAGCAGCTTCACCAAGCCTGGTGAGCCTTGTGACCATTAACTAACCTCTTTTTCAAATCCCTGCCGATGTAAATAAATAAATAGATAATGCAGGGCTCTTGTATATCAGAACTTGAGGTGGAGAAATGTTCTGGAGTGTTCTGATCATGCAAAGGTCCTAAAATCCCACCAGCGATGCAAGTATTCTGTATTTATTTTCTGCTTGTTACTTCCTTATTTTCCTAACCTTTGATTATAATTGTGCATTAACTGTAAAGGTTAATACTTTATGTCAGTAGTTCTTAGATTGTTCTGATTATTCCATTATTCCATCTTGACTGATCTAATTTTGGATTGCAAAACTCAGTTTTTTCTAAATCTAAATACTGTGAGTTAAGTGGAAGGTTTCTGGTATAATTTCTTTTTAATACTTATGAATAACCAACTTCTATGTATGTAAAGTATTAACCTCATTATCACTGTTAGATTTTTTTTAAAGCCAAACCCATTTTGTGACTATTCAAATATACCTTAATGTTTCCAAAAAGTTGTACATCTGGATAAAATGAACATAATGTGCATACTGTTTTGTTGTTTCTCTAAAGTTTATACAATGTTCATTAGCAGCCTATAAATTACAGATATTTTCTTATTTATAGGCTTCTAGTTTGAAGGTATATAATAGAATACTTTATATAGTACTTTACTTTATTTACTTTATATAAGAGTATTTTTATTGAATTTTATTTAAGTCCTGTTGCAGTGCATCTAGAATGCAATTTTATGGCTACTGTTTTTCTGCCTTTTTTTTCTTTTACAACATGCAGCAAAGCAATATTCTATAGGGCATACATATCCATGAATATTTCTCTAAGTATATAAAGAATATAATTTAACTATGTGATTTTTTTAGTTTTTATTTTACTTAAAACAATCTGTATTTACTTAAAACCGTATACAATTTTTTTGGAAACAGAACTACACCCCAACTAATATAAACCCTTAATATTTTCCTCTAATTCAAACATCCTACCTTCTCATTTATACACTTGCACTTAATATTATTCAACCTTCAGCACAAATTTGAATTGCAGCTGTTGGCGTTACACAAACCAAACAATGAACAATTTGTCTAGCGTTAGTAATCATTTCATCAGGTTGAATAATTTTAACTGCCGTTTTCGTTGAACATGGGATTTAATTTTGACTTTTGCACAAAATCTTTTGGTAAACAGTAAGGTTTGGATTACACTAATTTAAATGTTTATGTATTAAACTGCAAACTCTTAAAATATGCTAGCAGTATTTTTTTGCTTTACATCGCTTGTTCCGACTTTGATATTTCATTTATGTCTGATTTTTGAAAATCTGTCAAATGTGCACAAATATTAAGTATTATCTTTTGACTGCTTGAAACCTGACCCTTACCCTTCAGCCTGAGGACACCAGTATCCAGGAAGAAGACACCCCAAGGCACTATGACCCTGTTGTTGCTGCAACAGAGGCCTGGGGTGATGATGGTACACAGCCTATCCGCTATGACCCCATAGCAGCAGCCACAGAGGGCTGGGGCGATGATGGAACCCGACCCATTCGCTATGACCCTGTGGCTGCAGCGCAGGAGGGATGGGATGACAATGAGAACCAGTCAGCTCAGCATGATACTGTTGAAGAGGCCCAGGATGGATGGGGTGATGATGTAGACCAGCCTGTCAAAGAGGAGCAAGCTGAAGCTGAAACACCCGCTGATGATGCTCCAGCTGATGTGGTTGAGGAGGACACCACCACAGCTGCTCCTGAGATGGATGAGACAGAGGGTCAGGTAACTCAGGATATGAAAATGGAGAGATGCATCTGGACGGAGCAATGGATGCATCAGCCATTGACAAGGAGAATTGAGCATGCAGAAACTAAACACATGTTTGTTTGCTTTTTTGAAAATATATCATGACATGGAGTGCTTTAGGATGCATCTGGACCAGTTGGATAGATGCATCAATTGAAGTTAAAGAGTTCAGACTGAGAAAAAAGAAATGAGATAGAAAAAAAGATACATGATTCCTGATAGAACTCTGGAGTTCTTTCTATGCTAAAAACTTGGTATGCAATAGCTTTATACATAAACTAGAAGAACAGATCATTTTACTCTGTGTGGTAGATTACCATGTAGACCTCTTTGCTTGTGTTTTTGTCTGTTTCTGTTTTGTCTGCGTCTTCACTTGTTCATTCTTCTAGTTTATTCTTCTTTCTTGTTCTTACCAATTTCTCCATTTGTAGTCTAATTTTGTTGGCTTTTTCTGGTTTCAGGAGGAGTCTTTACCGCCAGCTGCAGCACCTGAAGGAGAAGAAGCTGTGACAGAGGAGGTGTGTTAAAAGGAATAAATCTGATTGTGTATCAAATAGCATTTTCATATTTGGAGTAATATTTCTAGAAAACCTTTCCTTTTTTAATAGAAAACCTTTCCTTTTTTAAACTCAAACATGAATGTGTTTTATTGTTATTCCATGTATGAAGGACTCAGGATCAGACGCTATATATTTTAATGTATATTTTTAAGAAGTCAAACTGAGAAAAATAAATTCATAAGTTAATTAAAGCTACAATATCAATATTAATATACAGATAAAA